CAACACACACACACACACGCACTACCTCTCTGATTTATTAATTAATTTATAAATCAGAGAGGTAGTGCGTGTGTGTATGTGTGTTGAACTACATGCAAATTTAAGATGAAATTAAGACGATCAAGGCTTCTAACAATATTCCCCTTGATTCCATACAATTTTAGTGCCAACAACTCAACCAGGTCGAAAGTGCAATCCACTGGTGCCTGGAGGAGAACAACATTTTGGTAAAGCAAGGCTATGTGAAACTGAATGGAAGCGTCAACTCAACTCATATGAATATATGAAGACCAAGATGTTGTGGCGTCTGGTGTGGTCGCAGTCTCCTTTCGATTGATAGAAGTGGGTTGACCTCGTTGTCGCAACTTGGTCTAATGCCGTTTTGCTATTAAGTCAGAAATAATACGTGATTTCCTGTCAGTCATGCTCTGGAGTTTTTCCAAATCTTCCGGAGACAGGATCCTGGCCAAATCACGCCGGAGCTTTGAGTTAATATCTATAAACTTAAACAACTTACGACGTTCAGTATCATAGGCCTCACTCAGTTTCTGCATAGACGCCTGGTGGAGATGCTCATCAACCTTATCTGAGTGGTAGGGCCTCTTAAGGTCACAGAACTTAGGAGGGATACCATAAGTGGTCCATAAAAAACAAGACCAAGTTGAGACAACGAGGTCAACCCACTTCTATCAACTCATATGATTGTGGGAAAATTCTTGTTCTACCAGTCCTTCGTCAGCTTAAACGAAATCGGGTGAATACATCTCATATCATGTATTATTCAAGAGAGTCGGCCAACCCATTTAAGGAAACTTTCTTGACCTTCTCGTTCACGCATAGCATCACTTTTATGCTATCTGCTATCCGCGATCACTTAAGATCACGGCTTATTTAAGCAGGACTTGTCGCTTCGTGTTGGTTTTAATTTTTTAACTTTTTTCCCTTGCCACGACGTCAGTAAGCTGATGACTACCGTCGTTTCACTCTTCTCCTCGACCTACACCTTCGAGTGGCCACGCGTCATGCCGGCCGATCAGCCGCTGCTCTACCCGCCGGCTTTCGATGCTCGTGTCGTTCTCTACCCAACGGACCGAAACCTGAGAGATTACCTGGCCTGGAGGCAAGTCGACTGCCACATCAACAATCTGTATAACACCTGCTTTTGGAAGCTGGTTGGACAAGCCGGAATCAGCCCGGCAGAGGCAGAAAGCCAACTCAAGGTAGGCTGTAGCCAAGACAATGCGGGCTTCGAGTAATCTCTTGGTATGTAAGTATTGAGCTTACTTCCATTTCTAGTCAAAGTGTTGGGTGAAGAGATGAGAAGACGACGGCGGATTCTTCTTCATCAGCTGTCGATTGGCTTTACTGGAACATGCATGCTGACGCTGTTTCCGAGGCAATCTCCCTCGATTCCGGTGAAAAGGTGCTAAGCTTTAGTCCGTCATGACGAACACCATTAAGGCAAGTAATCATCGTCGCAACCAAATTGAAGCTAACGAGTCAAGAAAACCAACTTTCGCATCTCTTCAATTAACACTTTCACTCGAAATGGAAGTAAGCTTAACAATCATGAAACAAGAGATTCCTCGAAACCCTCCTTTTCTTCCTTCGATTCCGTCATATGACGAACATCATCAAAGCAAGGTATCATCGTCACAACCAAATTGAAGCTAACGGGTCAAGAAAACCAACCTTCGCATCTCTTCCGCCAACACTTTTACTCGAAATGGAAGTGAGCTCAACAAGTATGAAACAAGAGATTCCTCGAAACTCACCTTTTCTTCACATAGTTTTAACTAAACCACACTATACTTGGTCAAGTTCTTTATTTGTGGATGTCGGTAGATTATAACGTCTACCGAGTGAACAACACCTAAGAACAACATTATGAGAAATACAGATTTTTAAAAATCTAATTCTATTAACTTGCCGGGATATAGTTTTCATGGTTGTAGTGTAGCGAGAAGACAAATGACAAGAAATCGAACCGTACGTACATTGTAGACACGAAGAGAAAGTTGGTTTTGATGAATCTCCTGAGATAACATTGTTAGAGGACATTCATTTCAAATGAAAGTGCATGACACGATGTTATCTCAAAAGATTCATCGAAAGGTGCTAAGCTTTCGTCCGTCATATGACGAACATCATCAGAGCGAGGTAACATCCTCACAACGAAATTGAAGCTAACGAGTCAAGAAAACTCACCGGCAAATCTCTAAAAAGTGGTATGCACACTCTACATTTGGCCTCTGATAAAGTATAAAGTGATTTGGTTAGTTACGGTCACATGTCAAACATTGATTGGCAAAAACAGATGTTCCTTTTTGCTGTCCTAATTACCACTTTTTAGGGATTTGCCGGTGAGTTTTCTTGACTCGTTAGCTTCAATTTGGTTGTGAAGATGATACATTGCTCTGATCATGTTCGTCATATGACGGACGAAAGCTTAGCATTTGTTCACCGGAATCGAAGAAGATTTCCTTGGAAACACTTTCACTCGAAATGGAAGTAAGTTCAACAATTATGAAACAAGAGATTCATCGAAACCCAACTTTTCTTCGTATATGTAAGTATCGAGCCCACTTCTAGTTCGTGTGAAAGTGTGAGATAAAGCGATTCGCAGGTCGATCCCACTGGAATACTTGGCAATTCTTCCCTACCCTGTCCACGAGGCAACCTGCTTCCATTACCTTGGATACTTGCTAAGCTTTCGTCATCAGAGCAAGGTACCATTCTCATAAACATAACCGGCATTTGAAGATAAGCCGGTGAGCTTTCTCAACTCTCTAGCACTCTTATGATTGTTAGAATTATACTCTGAATTGATGATGTCGGTCATAGGACAGATGAAAGCTTAGTACTCTTTTATTGGAATCGAAGGAGATCGCTCCGATGGCAACGTTAGCAAGGATCTTCCGGTCAGGGCAACCGACAGAAGACCGCCTATTCTTCTCATTGCACACTTTCACTTGCATTCTGTGTGAAGAGGAGAGTGAAGGGGATTTATAAATTGGCCTCGCCGGAAGGCCAAGGAAAAGTGCCTTGAAGCTGTGATTGCAAATTCGCGAGAATAAGTCACCTTCACACGTAACCGGGACTCTAATTAATCTTTGCTGAGTTGTCGTACGCCAGGAAACGGACATCGTAGATACAAAGCGGAACTTGGTTTCGATGAATCTCCTGAGATAACATGGTTAGGGGGACTTTCATTTCGTATGAAAGTGCATGAAGAAGAGATTCGTTAGTCGATCTCGCCAGATGAGGCCTAACTTTAACCTTTTGATAGCTCTGATTTAGGACCGGTATTGCGTACAGACCCAAACACACACACACACACACACACACACACACACAAGAATACAATGAGTATTGCCATTCTCACCCCTTGTTTTCGCAACTTGGTCACATTGGCAGGAAGACTTTAAGGAACGCACCTATCCCGGGGTCCATAGTATGCATGATCCTTTCGGGATTCGGACCGTGTACGTGCTACATTCCCAGACGTTTTGCCGGCATCGTCAGTGAGTCTTGCCACTCTTAGAACTCCACTAAAACTCGTAAAAAAGACAAGTGAAGCCAATCCTTTGACCGATTGTCGTATGAACAGTGTTGGTATCTCTCCTTCTGTCCTGGGCTAATCACCAAACCTACATCATCGTTTCACGCGTTCTCTATCACACTTTTTACTTGCTTATTTTAGTGTGGTATAGTATGCCCTTTTGAGCAGCTTTCATAAGTATTCTTCACATTCCACGCCGGCTTTCTCACTCTATCACCCCACCCCCACCCCCCTTCAGCCTTTTGCTGGGAATGTTGATCAGAGTCTGCCATATTGTTACGCAGTCCTCCTTTCCTAGGTCGGAGATCAAGAGGGATAGTCACTATCCCGAATACCAAGTGTATGACTCACTATGTCCTAGTCTCTTGTGGGCCAACCCACAAATGTTGTGTTTCTAAATTGAACCAAATC